TGGTGGTGGACTCGGGAAGGGCGGTGCTTAGAGGCAATGGTCCCCCCCAGGCCATTATCCCTGCAAAATTCCCCCCGAGAAATGCAGATCTTGATTAGGAAGGTCCACAAATTCCCTGCTCCTCACGGTCATCTAAGTCCACAATGGAGACTTCCATCTCCCAGCAGGTGATCATGGAGGACAGCGGAGATCAGGGCAGTCCTAGTATGAGGCTTTAGGACAGGGGTCTCCAAACTTTTTAAACAAAGGGCCAGTGTACTGTCCTTAAGACTTTAGAGGGGTTGCACTGTGACCATCAGGAGTAGAAAATGTTCCAGCATCAGTTGGAGTAAACAATGCCCCTTCCTTGGTGTCATTGGGAGGAATTGTGCCCCATCATTGGTGTAATTGGGCCCAATAATTGGTATCGTTGGTGGTAGTGCCCCAATAGTGCCCCATCATTGGGGAGTCCCCATCATTGTGTCATTGGAGGAATAGTGCCCCATCATTGGTGTCATAGTGTCCCATCATTGGCATCAGGTAAAGCAATAGTGCCCCATCATCATTGGTGTCATTGGTAGGTGCCCATCATTGGTGGAATAGTGTCCCATCATTGGTGTGATTGGGAGGAATAGTGTCCCATCATTGGTGTGATAGTGGGTGTCAGGAAATAGTGTCCCCATCATTGGTAGTGGGAGGAATAGTGTCCCATCATTGGTGTCCCCATCATGGTGTCAGGGAGGAATAGTGCCCCATCATTGGTAGTGTACAATAGGTAGGAATAGTGCCATCATTGGTGTCAGTGGGAGGAATAGTGTCCCATCATTGGTGTCAGTGGATCATTGAATATTGTAGCCAATAGTGCCCATCATTGGTAGTGTCAGTGGAGGAATAGTGCCCCATCATTGGTGTCATTGGTAGGAATAGTGTCCCATCATTGGTGTCAGTGGTAGGAATAGTGCCCCATCATTGGTTTGATTGGGAGGAATAGTGTCCCCATCATTGGTGTCAGTGGGAGGAATAGTGCCCCATCATTGGTGTCAGTGGGAGGAATAGTGCCCCATCATTGGTGTCAGTGGGAGGAATAGTGCCCCATCATTGGTGTCAGTGGGAGGAATAGTGCCCCATCATTGTGTCATCATGGGAGGGGAGGAATAGTGCCCCATCATTGGTATTGGTGTCTGGTAGGAATAGTGCCCCATCATTGGTGTCATCATTGGGGGAATGATGTGCCCCATCATTGTGTCAGTGGAGGAATAGTGCCCCATCATTGGTGTCAGTGGGAGGAATGGTGCCCCATCATTGTTGTCAGTGGTAGGAATGATCATTGGAATAGTGCCCCATCATTGCTGGGAGGAATAGTGCCCCATCATTGGTGTCAGTGGGAGGAATAATAGTGTCATTGGTGTCATCAGTTGGTAGGAATAGTGTCCCATCATTGGTATCATTGGGAGGAATTTTCCCCCTCACTGGTGTGTCCCATTGGTAGGAATTGTGCCCCATCATTGGTGCCATTTTGCCCTATTGTTTGTGTCATTGGGATAAACTGTGCCCCATTGGTAGGAATCATTGGGGGTGTCATCTGGTAGGAATTGTGCCCATCATTGGTGTCATTTTGATTGTTTGTGTCATTGGGAACTGTGCCCCATCATTGGGTCATTGGTAGAATTGTGCCCCATCATTAGTGCCATTGCCCCATTGTTGGTGTCATTGGAGGAACTATGGCCCATCATTGATGTCATTGAGAAGAACTGGTGTCGGTGAACGAAAGAGTGCCCCAAGGGCTGGATAAAAGCATGCAAAGGGCTGCATCCGGCCCCCGGGCCGCAGTTTGGAGACCACTTTGGGACATGTTCAGCCCACCTCCCCATCCTGACCCCTCTTTCCAGTAGACTCGCATTAATCAGCTCTGCTCCCTTCTGCTTCCTTCCATCAGGTACCGGGTGAGGTGCAGGAAGCATGTAGAAGAGATACGGCCACTGAGATGTATCCCTCCCCAGACTAGACATTTGTTTCATTTGGGACCAATTTGTTATATTACTAATGTTGTTTTGTAACCAAATTTATTTAAATTAATTTTATTTGTTTTCAACCGGTTTCTAATTTTTCCAATGGATTTGAAATATTTTGAATGTAATTAGGAGTATTTGAATCGAATTTGAAACAAAAATATCGAATCAACCCGAATTCATTGTGAATTTATTGAGACGACGTATTCTTTCTAATGAGAAGCATATTTTTTGATTCTATTCTTTTTGAAATTCAAATTTCAGAAGACGGCTATATTCTATTTTTTTGCTATTATTTTCGATTCTATTGTATTCTTTCTGTTTTCTATTCTATTTTATTCATTCCTATTCTTTTCAAAGTTCGAATTTTGGAAGACGGTTATATTCTAAAAATTCCAATCTTTGAAGGAAATCAGCAATAGTCAGCAATATGTTTACATTTCGAACTTTCTTTGGAATTTGCTTAAAATTTCATTTGAATTCAGATAATTTGTTATTTAGGACAAAATTTAATTTGATTATTTTGGATTAGTTTAAATTTGTTACAATGTCATTTGGAAATTTGGATACATCCAAATCTCCGAAAAACATACATTTGCTAATAGGTGTCCCTCGTTCCCATCTCCCAGTTGGGAGGTATGCATCCCTCCCCGGCAATCACTACAGAGATGGATCCCTTTCTGGTCAACATTCATCAATCCACCATCGATGGTGGATAACGATCCACCATTCTTCATCAAGCCACCACCGATGGTGGCTGAAGATCCACCATTCTTCATCAAGCCACCGATGGTTGATGACGATCCACCATTCTTCATCAAGCCACCACCGATGGTGGATGACGATCCATCATTCTCCATCAAGCCACTACCGATGGTGGATGACGATCCACCATTCTTCATCAAGCCACTACCGATGGTGGATGACGATCCACCATTCTCCATCAAGCCACAACGGATGGCGGATGACGATCCACCATTCTTCATCAAGCTACCACCGATGGTGGATGACGATCCACCATTCTCCATCAAGCCACCACCGATGGTGGATGACGATCCACCATTCTCCATCAAGCCGCCACCGATAGTGGATGATGATCCACCATTCTTCATCAAGCCACCACCGATGATGGATCATGATCCATCATTCTCCGTCAAGCCACTACCGATGGTGGATGACAATCCTGACAACCCAGCAACACAAAAACCACGAGCCACGCACAAAGTTGTTCCCCCAGCAGACTCTTGCCACAACTGACAGATCTCTGCTGGCTGCTGACTATCAACAAACCATTTTGGTCCATGACATCAGCCAGCATACCCAACCCTGGAGATGAATAATTGGTTTCTAGAAGGCTAGCAGCTACAATATCTGAGCAGAACGTGGTCACCTTTATTGGTGTCAGTAATACCACTGCTGAGATAATGACTTCCTGAAACAGGTGGTTCGCTTTGGAGAGCTGGAGCAATGGCCCAACATAGACAGGGCCACAGGGGCAGTTGCATGCAAAATTGTAAAGGTATTGCGCCCACAGGTTAGGGAGTGCAATAATTGCCTTACCGTGGGAGCTGGCAACCAACTTTTAGTGCTGGGAAGCTCTCAAAGCCAACAGCCAACCATAGGCAGAGGAGGCATTCCTCGTTTAGCAGCACGCATCTTGCATACAGTATGTATACCTGCGGGTTGGTTAATGCCTCCATTGCTGATTTGTTGTCAGCCAGATAGCTCAGGCGGGTTCTGAGACATGTCCGAGCAAGCCTGAGCTCAACCCTACCTAGGAGAGAGCCCCGGGCACTGGCATCCCAGGCTACACCACTGGGCAGGAGCATCTTTGTTTGCCTGTGTGGCAAGCTGTAAACATCCAGAGTTCGAACCCCGTGTCACCACAAACCTGAACCTTATCCCTAGTGAGCAAAGTATTACAATGTTAGGCCCCTCCCACACGGGGTGGACCCCTCAGAGGGTTCGTTTGCTCAGCAGGGGATCTGTCTGCTGCTTCCCGCTGACCAAGTGGATGACAGGTCCATGTCCGCCCTGCTTATGCAGAGCAGACACAGCCCGCTCTACTCTACGGGCAGTCAGATGGAAATGGACCGCCTGTCCGTTTGCATCTAACAGCCATCTGATCTGATCCAACAGCCATCTGATCTGATCCAACAGACATCTGATCTGATCCAACAGCCATCTGATCTGATCCAACAGCCATCTGATCTGATCCAACAGCCATCTGATCTGATCCAACAGCCATCTGATCTGATCCAACAGCCATCTGATCTGTGTTGCATTGTGGAGATTTCACTTCAAGAGCATCATTGGGACATAAGAGGAGTTCCTTCCAATGTAAACACGACAGTTGCAAGCAGAGCAGATTTTTCCATCGTAAGAGTTTTCTTATTTCCGGGACAACTCAAAAATGTTGGCTTTCCCAACCAGGAAACCAACTGAGAGAAAGAATCACCCAAGAGTATTCAATGACAGGGATTCTAGTCCTTCCACATCTTATTCAAAATAAAAAAAAAAGTTTTTGATCTCTAGCCCAGCTTTTCTCAACCAGGGTGCTGAGGCACCCTGTGGTGCCTTGAGGTTTACTCAGGGGTGCCTTGGCAAAATGTCTAAAAATTGCCCAAAGCTTGTATACAAGCCAGTGGGTGGATGAAGACTGCCTTCTAGGTACACAAAGCCACAGGTTTTCATTGTGCGCCATTATGACCTTTTAGCCACCGGCATCCTGACAACCAATGACATCATCAGTTGAGGAGGATGTCAGCTGCCTGCAGAGCATCCTAGTTTGACCCTCCCCCGCCCCTCTCCATCAGTGCTGGGGTCACATTAGCTCAGTGATGGAGAAAAACTGAGGGAGAGGAGAAACATTGGAATACTACTCAGTACCAGGGTGCAAAAATGTATCTGCTTTGGAAGAATAAATCACCTCTAATGTTGGGTGTCCTACATGTGTGGGTGTTGATGCGTTATATAAAACTGTTAGAATAATTATTTCACATTTTAGATTGGGGTGCCTCAAGACTGTCCATAATTATAAAGGGTGCCTCAAGACTTCCATAATTATAAAGGGTGCCTCAAGACTGTCCATCATTATAAAGGGTTCCTCAGGATTGTCCATCATTATAAAGGGTGCCTCAAGACTGTCCATAATTATAAAGGGTGCATCAGGACTGTCCATTATTATAAAGGGTGCCTCAAGACTGTCCATAATTATAAAGGGTGCCTCAAGACTGTCCATAATTATAAAGGGCGCCTCAAGACTGTCCATAATTATAAAGGGTGCCTCAAGACTTCCATAATTATAAAGGGAGCCTCTGTACTGTCTATAATTATGGACAGTCTTGAGGCACCCTTTATAATTATGGACAGTCCTGATGCACCCTTTATAATTATTGAAGTCTTGAGGCTCCCCTTATAATTATGGACATTCTTGAGGCACCCTCTATAATGATGGACAGTCCTGAGGAACCCTTTATAATTATGGACAGTCTTGAGGCACCCTTTATAATTATGGAAGTCTTGAGGCACCCTTTATAATTATGGACAGTCTTGAGGCACCCTTTATAATTATGGACAGTCCTGATGCACCCTTTATAATTATGGAAGTCTTGAGGCACCCTTTATAATGATGGACAGTCTTGAGGCACCCTCTATAGTGATGGACAGTCCTGAGGAACCCTTTATAATTATGGACAGTCTTGAGGCACCCTTTATAATTATGGAAGTCTTGAGGCACCCTTTATAATTATGGACAGTCTTGAGGCACCCTTTATAATTATGGACAGTCTTGAGGCACCCTCTGTAATGATGGACAGTCCTGAGGAACCCTTTATAAGTATGGACAGTCTTGAGGCACCCTTTATAATGATGGAAGTCTTGAGGCACCCTTATAATTATGGACAGTCCTGAAGCTCCCTTTATAATGATGAACAGTCTTGAGGCACCCTTTATAATGATGGACAGTCTTGAGGCACCCTTTATAATGATGGACAGTCTTGAGGCACCCTCTACAATGATGGACAGTCCTGAGGAACCCTTTATAATTATGGACAGTCCCGAGGCTCCCTTTATAATGATGGACTGTCTTGAGGCACCCTTTATAATGATGGACAGTCTTGAGGCACCCTTTATAATGATGGACAGTCTTGAGGCACCCTTTATAATTATGGACACTCCTGATGCACCCTTTATAATTATGGAAGTCTTGAGGCTCCCTTTATAATTATGGACAGTCTTGAGGCACCCTTTATAATTATGGACAGTCCAGAGGCTCCCTTTATAATTATGGACAGTCTTGAGGCACCCTTTATAATTATGAAGGGAGCCTCTAGACTGTCCATAATTATAAAGGGTGCCTCAAGACTGTTCATCATTATAAAGGGAGAGCTTCAGGACTGTCCATAATTATAAAGGGTGCCTCAAGACTTCCATCATTATAAAGGGTGCCTCAAGACTGTCCATACTTATAAAGGGTTCCTCAGGACTGTCCATAATTATAAAGGGTGCCTCAAGACTGTCCATAATTATAAAGGGTGCCTTAAGACTTCCATAATTATAAAGGGTGCCTCAAGACTGTCCATAATTATAAAGGGTTCCTCAGGACTGTCCATCATTATAGAGGGTGCCTCAAGACTGTCCATCATTATAAAGGGTGCCTCAAGACTTCCATAATTATAAAGGGTGCCTCAAGACTTCCATAATTATAAAGGGTGCATCAGGACTGTCCATAATTATAAAGGGTGCCTCAAGACTTCCATCATTATAAAGGGTGCCTCAAGACTGTCCATAATTATAAAGGGTGCCTCAGGACTGTCCATAATTATAAAGGGTGCCTCAGGACTGTCCATAATTATAAAGGGTGCCTCAAGACTGTCCATAATTATAAAGGGTGCCTCAAGACTTCCATCATTATAAAGGGTGCCTCAAGACTGTCCATCATTATAAAGGGTGCCTCAAGACTGTCCATCATTATAAAGGGTGCCTCAAGACTGTCCATCATTATAAAGGGAGCCTCAAGACTGTCCATCATTATAAAGGGTGCCTCAAGACTTCCATCATTATAAAGGGTGCCTCAAGACTTCCATCATTATAAAGGGTGCCTCAAGACTGTCCATACTTTTAAAGGGTGCCTTGACTGAAGAAGCGTTGAGGAGCACTGCTCTAGCTCACCGTTATTTCCGGCTGCTTACTGGGCATCACATAAAGATGAAATTTATACTCCAAGAAGTTCACGTCTTCTGGACAAACCACCTTGCTGTACAGCAGAATCTTCCCCTCGAATGGGACGGGTCTTCTCCATAGTTTCGAAAACAGAGCAACAAGAGAAGAAAAGGAGGGATTTTCCAGTATAATGTGAGACGGTCCAATTGTTATCGGTTTTATGATGTTAAATGTTCCATTCTTCAAATTGCCGCATTTAATTAGAGCGATGCCTCTTTTCAGGCCTAAAGAACCAAAAGAAATTGTTTGTTACACTTTCACATATTGTACATTCACATCAGTCCCCGCCCCCGAGGAGCGTACAATCTAAGGTCTCTAACTTACATTCATACATACACATACTAGGGACAATTAGACAGGAGCCAAATAACCTCCCAGCATGTCTTTGGAGTGTGGGAGGAAACCGGAGTACCCGGAAGAAACTCACAAAGGCACAGGGAGAACATGCAAACTCCAGGCAGGTGATACCATGATTCAGATTCGATCTAATGACCCCAGTACTGCCAGGCGGAAGTGCTAACCATTTAGCCACTGTGCTGCCCAAGTTCAAGCAAAACCTAATTGATGTCAATCAGAGGCATCCCTAGGGTTGGTGTCACCCGGGGCGGTAAACATGTGGTGTCACCCTCCAGAGAGGAAAGAGCGGTGCCGGTGTAGTGGTAAAAGGAGTTCAACCTATACGGGGTTAACTGATCTTGTAACCCATAGTGATCTGCGGGATCAGCTTCAGCGGTTTGCAGCCTGTAAAGGGTTAACTCTGGCAGCTCTGTGCTAAAGTCGGCGATCAGCTTCTTCCGCCTGAAAAACTGGCGCATGCGCAGTTGCTTCAGGGGATACATATCTTCACGGGTCCGGGATACTCATCTTACCGCTACACCGGGGGGGCAGCTGTCACTGTGCCGGGAATCCGGGATCACCCCAATAACTGGCCAGGACCTTCACAGAGCCCAGAAGCTCTGCTGGCACCCTGCTCCTGCACCACCTGTGATGGTGTCACCCGGTGCGGCCCGCACCCCCCTAGGGACGCCACTGATGTCAATTGGAGTTGAATCTTTACAATCAATGTTGTTCATGTTGAAGGTTACTTGGAAAGGGATTGTCAAGCGAATGGTATGGGAGCTGAGCACTGCTGGGGGGCTGCAATAAGGCATGGGAGATGCCTTGGAGTGCCTCGGACCCCGCATTCACTATATCCGCTCTCCCCGGACCCCGCATTCACTATAGCCGCTCTCCCCGGACCCCGCATTCACTATATCCGCTCTCCCCGGACCCCGCATTCACTATATCCGCTCTCCCCCGGACCCCGCATTCACTATATCCGCTCTCCCCGGACCCCGCATTCACTATATCCGCTCTCCCCGGACCCCGCATTCACTATATCCGCTCTCCCCGGACCCCGCATTCACTATATCCGCTCTCCCCGGACCCCGCATTCACTATATCCGCTCTCCCGGACCCCGCATTCACTATAGCGCTCTCCCCAAACCCCGCATTCACTATATCCGCTCTCCCCAGACCCCGCATTCACTATATCCGCTCTCCCCGGACCCCGCATTCACTATATCCGCTCTCCCTGGACCCCGCATTCACTATATCCGCTCTCCCCGACCCCGCCTTTACTATATCCGCTCTCCCTGGACCCCGCATTCACTATATCCGCTCTCCCCGGACCCCGCCTTTACTATATCCGCTCTCCCCGGACCCCGCATTCACTATACCCGCTCTCCCCGGACCCCGCATTCACTATATCCGCTCTCCCCGGACCCCGCATTTACTATATCCGGTCTCCCTGGACCCCGCATTCACTATACCCGCTCTCCCTGGACCCCGCATTCACTATATCTGCTCTCCCCAGACCCCGCATTCACTATATCCGCTCTCCCCGGACCCCGCATTCACTATATCCGCTCTCCCCGGACCCCGCATTCACTATATCCATTCTCCCCGGACCCCGCATTCACTATATCTGGTCTCCCCGGACCCCGCATTCACTATATCCGCTCTCCCCCCGGACCCCGCATTCACTATATCCATTCTCCCCCTATTCTCCGACGGACCCCGCAATCACTATATCTGGTCTCCCCGGACCCTGCATTCACTATACCCGCTCTCCCCAGACGCCGCATTCACTATATCCGCTCTCCCCGGACCCCGCATTCACTATATCCGCTCTCCCCGGACCCCGCATTCACTATATCCGCTCTCCCCGGACCCCGCATTTACTATATCCGGTCTCCCTGGACCCCGCATTCACTATATCCGCTCTCCCCAGACCCCGCATTCACTATATCCGCTCTCCCCGGACCCCGCATTCACTATATCCGCTCTCCCCCGGACCCCGCATTCACTATATCCGCTCTCCCCGGACCCCGCATTCACTATATCCGCTCTCCCCCGGACCCCGCATTCACTATATCCGATCTCCCCGGACCCCGCATTCACTATATCCGCTCTCCCCGGATCCCGCATTCACTATATCCGCTCTCCCCGGACCCCGCATTCACTATATCCGATCTCCCCGGACCCCGCATTCACTATATCCGCTCTCCCCGGATCCCACATTCACTATATCCGCTCTCCCCGGACCCCGCTATACTATATCTGCTCTCCCACAGTACACACATCATTAAAATGCAATTATTTTAGTAAATATAAATTGCTAAATCCCTTTTCTCATCAGCAGTATATAGCAGTCTTGTGACTTCTAACAGTGTCCAGCGGAGCATTAGTTAAAGCTTGTAAGAGGAGCTTTCTTTCTGCTCTAGGAGGATGCAGAACCCCTGACCTCTGTCTGGACAGTGATGATTGGCCCTGTGCTGATTACATGCACTCTCCCATGAAAAAAAAAAACCTCTCTAGCAATACACACTAAACTGAGCATGTGCAGAGTGACTCCATACGATATGTCTTATCAGAAGATAAGAGGGGGGACACTGGAAGAAGGGGAGGACCAGACAAATCAGGGTCAAACAGCATTTTTACACAATGCAGACCCCTTAGGTTCCCAGTGAGTATAACAAGCATGCTTTACTACATCTACAGACTGATTGGACTGTTGTGGGTTTAGTAACACTTTAATCCTGCCTGTAAAGTAGCACACCTGTACCATGTACACTCACTGGCCACTTTATTAGAACACCTGTTATTATTTTTTAAATTTAAGTATTTTTATATTTTATTTATATTGTATTTTAAATTTATATTTTTATAATATTTATTATTATATTATTATATTATTAATTATAATTTTTTTTTTATTTATATAATTAAATTATGATTTTATATAATTATTAATAATTATTTTATTTTTATAATATTATATTTTTTATATATTATATATTTTTTAAATTAAATTATTTTTAATTTTAGAAAAACAGTTGCTTGGTAACACAAATTTCTAATCAGCCAATCACATGACAGCAACTCAGTGCATTTAGACATCTAGACGTGGTGAAGATGACTTGCTGAAGTTCAAACCGAGCATCAGAATGGGGAAGAAAGGGGATTTAAGTGACTTTGAACGTGGCATGGTTGTTGTTGCCAGATTAGCTGGTCTGAGTATTTCAAAAAAAACTGCTCTTTAGCGGAAGTGGATTGGGCTGTGTCTTTACTGGATGGGCTGACTCTTTATTGGTTGAGCTGTCTCTCTACTGGATGGGCTGACTCTTTATTGGTTGAGCTGTCTCTCTACTGGATGGGCTGACTCTTTATTGGTTGAGCTGTCTCTCTACTGGATGAGCTGTCTCTTTGCTGGACAGGATGTCTCTTTGCTGGATGAGCTGTCTGCTGGATGGCCTGTCTCTTTGCTGGATGGGGGCTGTCTCTTTGCTGGATGGGGGCTGTCTCTTTGCTGGATGGGGGCTGTCTCTCTGCTGGATGGGGGCTCTCTGCTGGATGGGGGATGGCTCTCTGCTGGATGGGGGATGTCTCTCTGCTGGATGGGGGATGTCTCTTTGAATATATATGGGCACCGTGATTAGGTCTCTAGGGGCAATGTGATATAAAGGGGCAATGCAATCAATACAGTGCCCCTCTACAGTGCAGTCCCCTTTATATCACAGTGCCCCTTTACATTACAGTGTGGAGGACTGACTCCATGAATATTCCATCACCCAACTGCCCCCACAAAACTCCTTTGCACCCCACCACCTCCGGAAAAATTGGCTGCTCAATCTAAAATGCC